GGCTGGTTTAGGGGTTGGACCAGGAGTCGCCCCCACGGGCCGGGCTGGTGTAACACGCACCTTTGCAGCCCCCAGTGCCCCCCCTCTCCCCAGCCTGGGGGTCCCCACAGCCCCTTACACCTGGGGCCTGCAAGGGGCCCCAGGGATCGGGGGGCCCCGCACTGGGGTGACCCCCACCCCGAGAGCAGGGGAGGCCTGTAGGGCTGCAAGGGGAGTACCTGCCCACCCCCTCCCCCAGTTCAGGGGTTCCAGGGCAGCAGGAGGTGCCAGCACCGGGGTCCACACCGGTGGGCAGGGCTGCCCCCCTGGGTGCTGGTGGTGGCCTGTGGCACCCTGAGAAACGTCACCCCCCAGCCCAGCCCGGGGACAAGGAGGGGTGGCAAGGCCAGGAGGGTGGACTTGGGGGTCCCAACTCATGAGATCAGGCCGCAGCGCTGCCTCAAGCAGGGGCAAAACCCTCCCTGCTCCTGGCACCTCTGAGCTGCAGGGTGGCAGCAGCTCCTGCCCCCCGGGGAAGGGGCCTGTGGGGTCAGGACAGCTCTTACCTCCAACTCCCAGGGGCTGCAGTTGACCTCGCTGACACTTGCAGGAGTAAAAGGGGTGATCTGGAACGAAAAATCTCTTCTTCCTCTCCCATCACAGCACAGACCAGCTCCTGGCACCACCGAGCCAAACTGGATTTCAACCGCTGACCTGTAAGGTGAGATGCTGCATCCCCTGCTCCATCCCCGGGCTGTTCAACACCACCCAGGGCCACCCAAACTGCCAGAGCTGCTGTAGAAAAGGTTTTGTGTCTAATAGGACGCTTGCCAGCAAAGTCAAGCCACGAATACTATATATTTCTTTATTTGTAAAGGTGTTTGAAGTCCTTGAATTTACCCTTTGGCCACCTTAAATCTAGTTTCTAATCCCCAGCGCACTTAATCAAGTCCACTGTGGTTTGAATTACAAGATGTCTGGGGGGGGGATTTATAGCTTGTATTGCTGATTATACCTTGACTTTATTATACTGCAAATATCTAACTTGGTGGTCACGGCTGAGATTTACAGTCCTCAGGTAGGTGCTTAGGATAACTTTTAGCAACTCCAGATGTAATTGAAGGTGACTTATGGGGCTGCTGCCACAAGATAAACATGTAATCTGTGAAACATTAAGGCAGGGAAAGAAGAGGCAGAATAGGTGAAAAGGGTGAGCCTTAAAAAAATAATATAATTGGTCTGGCTGAGCCATCCATGCCCCAAAAGGGTTTTTGGGTTTGTGGGTCTCCAGAAAATAGAAGGATTTAGATATTTGTTCTTCCTGCTCTCAGCTGAAGGTTTTTAGAGTTTGAAACAGCCCTGGGGATGGGTAAAGGATGATCAATAGAAAGGGGGGTACTCACAGAGCTGACACCTGCCCCCATGTTCTTGGGGAAAGTTTGTGCCTCTGGCTCTTCTGGACCTGACCAGTGGTTTCTCCTTGTCCTGGAGGAGCAGCGAGTCCCGCGCGGGCACGTGCCCCTCAGCCAGCATGACGAGTGAAGTGGTGGAGAACGAGTTTGAGTTCTACTCCAAGGCTGAGAAGTACTGGAAGGACGTGCCTGCCACGGTGGATGGCATGTTGGGGGGCTATGGGCACATCTCCAGCATCGACATCAACAGCTCCAGGAAGTTCCTGCAGAGGTTTCTGCGGGTAGGTGGCCAAGTCTGTCCTGATCCCAAAGCCTTGTCCTTCCAACTTGGAGCTGGGATCTTCCCTCTGAGTTGCTCCATGGGATCTTCTGTTGTGGGTGTGCCCCATACCCAGCCCCATCCTGTAGGGTTGCCCCCATTTCTCCTCTGTGAGTACCTCATATTGGGATTTAACCCTTTGTGGTTGTTGTTCTAGGAGGGTCCCAACCGGACGGGGACAACCTGTGCTCTGGACTGTGGAGCAGGGATCGGCCGGATCACCAAGCGGCTGCTGCTGCCTCTCTTCAAGACTGTGGACATGGTGGATGTGACAGAGGACTTCCTCACCAAGGCCAGGAGCTACCTGGGAGAGGAGGGCAGGAGGGTGCGCAACTACTTCTGCTGTGGCCTCCAGGACTTCAGCCCCGAGCCCAACTCCTACGATGTCATCTGGATCCAGTGGGTCATTGGTGAGGATTGCTCAGCTCATGGGGGTCTCACCAGCCTGTTCTCTGTGCTCCCCACCTGAGGAGAAGGATGTCCCACACACTGGGGAGGATCTTTGGGCAGGAAAGCACGAGGCCTGTGTTGATGAGCATCACAGCAGGGGTGGGAGGCTGGCTTAGGGACCTGCCCTCCATGGGGTCTGTTCCTAAAAACCCTCAGAGGTCAGGGCAGATGCGTGGGGTGGGTGGAGTGGGATAGAGCCCAGGGGACACATGTTGGACACCCTAAGCTAAAGCTGTCACCTGCAAACAGCTCAAATACTGAGCTACCTGAATCAGGAAGGATCCTAACCTCAGCCTCTTGGTTTCCCTCTCTGCTGGTCATGCCTTCTCACTCCTGCTCTTCTCCTCCAGGACATCTCACTGACAACCACCTCTCCGACTTCCTGAAGCGGTGCCGCGCCGGCCTGCGGCCCAACGGCATCGTGGTCATCAAGGACAACATGGCCCAGGAGGGGGTGATCATGGACGATGTGGACAGCAGCGTCTGCCGGGACCTGGACGTGGTCCGTAAGATCATCCGCCGGGCGGGGCTGCACCTCCTGGCCGAGGAGCGCCAGGAGAACTTCCCTGACGAGATCTACCACGTCTACACCTTCGCCATGAGATGAGGGTGGTGGGAGAAGGTCTCTGCGGAGCCAGCTCGGAGCATGGGCCAGCAGGGTGGGTCCTGCTGGGGCCCTTCACCACGGGGTGGCAGGTGGCAGCCAGGGTGGTGAGACTCCCTCTCTCCAGGGCTGGTGGCAAGGATGGGGCTTTGTCTTCCAAGTTGCTGCTGTTTGTGAAAAAGAGGTGTTTGCCAAATACATTTTCCTGCTGTTGCACTTCTGCACCTGGGCTTTGTCAGACACAGTGATGGCTTGATGCCACCTTAAGGGGCTCTGGCCAGGAGGAAGAGGGTCTCTCCTGCAAGAGACATGTTCTGTGGGCACAGAACCATAGTCATACAGGGCTGCTGTTAGTGACCAGGAGCTTGGAGCACCTCTGTGAGGGTCTGGGCTCCCTCCCCTCCTTGGGTGTTTGTCCCTTTCCTGCTCTTGAACTTGCTGCTCACAGCAACAAGCTGGCCAATGCACACAGGAGAAACCTGGCATTTCCCTGTGGTGGGTTGGGGAGGCCAATGCTAGGGTCTGGGGCTTTGTGGGGGCCTCTTCTTTAAACCCACAAGCAGTTCTCCCACACATACACAGCAAAAGAGAAGGTAGATGTAACTGAGGGTCCCCCACATCCTCCCACACCAAGCTGCCCCCAGCCCATCACCATAGGCTCATGGTGGTTCCCAGCACCTCCTGAACGCTGCAACAGCACCCCAACCCCACCACTACTTTTTGAACATTCCCATCTCCTCCTTGGCTGCATCCACTTCATTTTGCCCAGGTCTGTCATCAGCTCTCCCAGCAGGCAAACAGACACCCAGTTGCAGCCCATCCCTCCAGCCAGGCTCACACATGGTCCTCCTCCTCCCACCAACCCCTGCAGAGCCCCCCCTCCTCCACCCCATCCCTCCTGCACAAGAAACAAGCCCCTTGTGACTATTACAAAAGGCCTCATTTAATTGCTTCTCATTCCAGACACCAGGGAAGTGTTTGATCACATTATTATTTTTAAACATCAATTCATCAAGACCCACAGCTCCAGCTCCACAGGGTGGGAGAAGGTACAACACAGATGCTGCCAGGAGGGCAAGGGGAGGGACACAACCCTTCTGCAGCCAAACTGCCAGAGGGATCCCAGATCCACCTGTTCCTGTTACCTGCTCAGAGTAGATTTTTCCTCTTTTCATTCTCATCTGCATCTGTCCCCCACGACAAAAAAAAAAAAAGACCCCAAACAACAAAAAAATGGGGGGGACGGAGCTCAGCTCTGCAACCAGTCTTTGGCACATCACAAGGAACAAGATGCCTACAGGTGGGGGGCAGGCAGCTGTGGCAAGGCTGGGCCACAGGACCTCCATGTGCAGTCCCAGAGTTTGGAGCTTCCAGTAGCAGCTTGGAAAGAAAACCCCAAGTTCTGCTTCAACTTCTCGTTCCTGGGAAGGAGGACCTGGAGACCATGGTGCTGGGAACAGTCAGGGAGGGAGAGCCAGGGAACAGGGAGGGAGGCATGAGGCACCCAGCTGCCTGTTCCTCAGCCTTGCACAGGGAATATGCACCACAAAAACAAGAAACATCCATTTGTCTGTTTCGGAGTTCAGCACCTCTTGAGGTGTCCTTGGTGGATGGGTCTGTGCCAGGAGGATGGGATGCTGCCCATGGGAACTCAAGAGGGTGTGGAGCAGCCAGCCATGGCTTCCAGCACCACCTCCCCTCACCCCCACCACACCCCTGGTTTCAAAAGCTTGGATGAGCAAGGAAGGCAACCACACCCACGTGGAGATGCTGGGCTTGCCTTCCATGGCTGCTCCCACCATCAGGAAACCAGGACATGAATGCCACCACTCTCCTGGCTTGGGAGCACCTTCTACCAGCACCCCAGGACACCTCACAGCTCCACCACTCACCGAAGGCACTGCTTCAACCTCCATGGGCCCAGGTGGGCTTTAACCAGAGTGGAGAGGGAGCCTGTCCCACAGGTCCTGCCCACCAGGCCTTTTCTTAAAATCCACACAAACCAGCCTTCTACCCCAGCGTCCAGCCCCAGGGCTCTCTTCACCCCCCAGGGCTCTACCCACCTCCCCACAACGTGCCCCAGAGCAACGAGGCCTCCACTGAGGCACCCAGCTGCCTGTTCCTCAGCCTTGCACAGGGAATATGCACCACAAAAACAAGAAACATCCATTTGTCTGTTTCGGAGTTCAGCACCTCTTGAGGTGTCCTTGGTGGATGGGTCTGTGCCAGGAGGATGGGATGCTGCCCATGGGAACTCAAGAGGGTGTGGAGCAGCCAGCCATGGCTTCCAGCACCACCTCCCCTCACCCCCACCACACCCCTGGTTTCAAAAGCTTGGATGAGCAAGGAAGGCAACCACACCCACGTGGAGATGCTGGGCTTGCCTTCCATGGCTGCTCCCACCATCAGGAAACCAGGACATGAATGCCACCACTCTCCTGGCTTGGGAGCACCTTCTACCAGCACCCCAGGACACCTCACAGCTCCACCACTCACCGAAGGCACTGCTTCAACCTCCATGGGCCCAGGTGGGCTTTAACCAGAGTGGAGAGGGAGCCTGTCCCACAGGTCCTGCCCACCAGGCCTTTTCTTAAAATCCACACAAACCAGCCTTCTACCCCAGCGTCCAGCCCCAGGGCTCTCTTCACCCCCCAGGGCTCTACCCACCTCCCCACAACGTGCCCCAGAGCAACGAGGCCTCCACAAACACACACAGCCCAGAGACACCATGGGCAGCAAGTCAAGGGCAGGAGCACAGCAAGCTGCTGTGGGGAAAACTGGCCCAGAGCAGAGAGATGCGGTGGCTGCAGGCACACCATGACTGTGGAGGGGGGGACACAGAGGTGTAACTCAGAGGTCATCCTGCATGGCAGCAGTGTGGTCAATGAGGAGGTACCACTTCAGCCTGTCTGGAAGAGGTAGAGCCTTGATTTTGACATCTACTGGCCACGGTTTGAGGTGCTGCCGGATAAACACCCTGCAGAGATGTTTCAGTGCCTGTGGGGAATGCTCCAGCTGCTTCAGAGAGCAGAAGAGAGTCCTGATCTTCTCCCCGTGGTACTTACAGATGCTGGTGTTGACCTCAAAGTTGCTGGGCAGCTGGATGGCTTGTGAACTGGCCATCATGAGCTCCAGCAGAGTCTGACCCTTCTGGATGAGGTCTGTAGAGAAGCTGTCATCTTCAGAGATGCTGAGATCCGAGCAGAGGCACTCAAAGACAATGTGGAAGCCCGACCAGCAGGAAGGGCCATGGAGGGAGCAGTTGTAGGCAGCACCCGACTCCAGCAAGAACCGCAGCAGCGGGAAGTGGCATTTGAAGCTTTGGAAGCAGAGGTGGGTGAGGGACTCAGGAGCTGGGCACTCACTGGGGTTGGCACCATGGGCCACCAGCAGCTGTGTGACACGAAAGCAGAAGTGACTGATAGCCTGCACCTCCTCAGTGTTGCTGCACACCATCTCTCCCAGCAGGAAGATGACATAAGTGAAGACAGTGTCACCATCTTCGGTGGTGGCTCTGACATCTGCACCTGGAGGAAGGGACAGTGAAGGTTAACTAGCACTGTAGACAGTGAGGCCAGGGCTGCACCAACTAGCACTGCTGGGCTTTGCTCTTGCTCAAGTGGAACATGAAGGAGTTGAGAGGGCAGTGCCTGGTGAAGTGGGCCCGAGGGATGGTGGATGGAGAGGGGAGAAGGTTGTGCTCACCTCCCTCCAGCAGGAGACGGATGCTCTCGGTGTTGTGGATCTGGACGCCGTCACTGCTGGCCAGGGCGTGCAACAGGGCTGTCTTACCTGCAATGGAGCCATCAGTCAGACAAACAGATAATACCCCAAAAGGCAAGAAGGAAAACAATCCACTTCACCAGCCAGAGAGCTGAACGTGGGCAGAAACAGCCCTTTCCCTAATGACAGTCCCCATCCAAACACACAGCTGTGGGGACAGGGTGACAGGCCACACATGCAAGGTGGGTAGTGTCCCCAAAAGGCACACATGCCATGGTAGTTGGTTTTGGAGTATGTGAGCACCCAGGGCTGTGAGGGCAGAGCCCTGTCCCATCTCCCACAGCCTGCAGAGCTGGTTTCAGCTCCCTCCTCCACCTGACCTAGCCAAGACACGAGGGGAAGGCACAGAGCACCAGGGAGGTTCTGCAGCCTCCACCATCTTCCAAACCAGTTTGTAACCAGAGTGCACTTGCAGCAACAGGAGGGAAGGACCTTGTCCCCGTGTCCTGCTCCAGCCCCCTGTGGGTGGATGCTGGGGACACTGAGGCTGGGGGAGCCAGAGGGGGCACACGGACCGTTCTTGTCAGCTGCATTGACATCAGCCCCCAGCTGGAGCAGCCTCTGGAGACACGGCAGGCGGTCCGGGTCGCTCGGGCTCCTCGCTGGCCAGGTCCAGGGGACTGCTCTCATGGATCTGCATGGAGCAAGAGCAGGAAAAACCACTGGTGAGTATTAAAAGACTGTTTGTGAGTCCCCCCAGGGAGTCACTGCTGGGGTTTCATCATACAAGAGTGTGTTTCATCCCATCCCCAAAAACTGAAGTGAACCTTTCCTGGTGTGTCCACAGGGAGAGGTTTGTTTGCCTCAGCCCCTTCCCACCCACCTCAGCCAAAGGCAACCTGAGCTGCCACAGTATCAGAGCACTATGGACAATGGGCACGGGATGTGACCAAGGGGAAGCAGCACACAGGGAGGGGGAAGCAGGGAGGGCTGTGCCCCCACACCCATCCTGCCCAAGGGGCCCCAGCTGAGCCCCTACTCGGTCTCTGCGGTTGATGTCAGCCCCGTGGTGCACCAGGAACTCCACCATGTCCGGCTGGTTGCGCAGCACTGCCATGTGCAAGGGGGTGTAGTAGGTGACGGGGTCTGAGGACAAAACCACAGAGTCAGACAGAGAGCCAAGGGCTTCCCCAGAGCAACCCTGACACAAGGGGGCAGCTGGGGAGGGCCCCAAGAACGCAGCGGTGCCAGCGAGAACGGGGCTGTCGCAGCACGCCCAGCTCCTGCTTTTGTAATGGCTCCACTTCTGGGAAAAGCACCCAGAGCTGCAAACTGGCCCCCCAAGTCCCTAACCATCCCCCAAGACCATCCCTATGGCTAGATCTGGACAAGCCCTGCCACCAGGCTGCCAGGACCCCCCCCCCTTTCTTTCCCAGCTATCACCCAGGGCAGCTTCTCAGCAGCTGGCTCCTCCTGGCCAGCCCCAGCCCCCTTCCC